CCTGTGAAATATTAACAAGACTAAAACTGTTAATTAGGCAGTTTTATGTTACTAGTTTTGCATCTCATACTTGGACATATTATCAGGAGGGGCCAGTCCCCGGAAAAGGATATCATCTTTGGTAAAGGGTTGGAGAAGAAGAGGAAGATCCCCAACAAGATGGATTGGCACAGTGGCAGTAGCAATGGGCTCAAAACATAGCAACAATTGTGAGGTTGGACCAGGACCGGGCAGTGTTTCGTTCTGTTTTGCATAGGGCCGCTATGACTTGGTGCCAACTCGGTGGCACCTAACAACAACAGCAACATTGAAAGTTTTTCTAACAATAAAGATGTTTTTCTCTAACTGCTTAAATTGCCATGTATGTTTAAAGTATTTGAAAATATTGAAGCCAGCAGAAATTCATTCAAAGTGAAAGATTTTATTTTAAACGGTTGAGGCTCTCTTCTATAAAACTTTTAATTAAAGGTAAACTAAGTTGTTTTATAACAAAAGCATGGGGGTAGCAGGCATAAATGAAAAGGATGGAAGGAAGACAGGAGGGGAGTGGGGAAGGAAAGACAGGCATGATATGAAACCAAGAAATCGACATTTATTGAGTACCCTCTATAAGCCAGAACAGTGTTAGGCACTTTCATTAAGCATTATGGTTTTTGTTCACTTGATTCTTACAATAATGCTATTGTCCCACATTATTTGTAGAGGAGGAAGCAATATATTCAACCATACTGCACTTTAAAATTTTATGATAAGGTAGAGATGTTACAGAAGGCTATGTAAATTCTGTCAAAAAAATTGGCACAGAGTTTTGTTTAAAACATTTTTTTACCCCAAAGTCATGCTTGTGATTCACAGCCATCGCATTTTCTGGCACTAGAAATTGCTCTGTCCCTGGAAAGAGGAAGTTTGGTTGAATGGTCATCCTCCACTTTAAGTGATGAGTTTGACTCGGCAAATTAGTGCAGAACTCAGTCTGCTTCACAAACAGCACCTGGGTTCAGGTATTGCCAAGGACAAGTCTGATGAAGAGTTTCCCTGGATGACTTCTAAGTATACAGTAAAAAGGAAAGTGTCTGACAATAGAAATGATTCCAGAAGAGTTAAACATAAAAATAATGCAAGATTTGCTACAAAATTGTAGGAGACACTTTCTGAGGATTCCAGTCTGTTGCCACCATGTGTACAAGCTGCTGGGGATAAAACACGGGGGGTATCATCGCACCTCTTTTCCAGATAGGATTAAACTAGTGTGCTCCCTTTTATAATGTTCCTGTTGTTGTTGTTAAGTGCCGTTCATTGAGTTGATTCTGACCCATAGCAACCCTGTACAGGGTTTCCAAGGAGCAGCTGGTGAGCTTGAACCGCCGACCTTGCAGTTCAAACGGCTTTGCAGTCTGACACATTAACCCACAGCACCACACCAGGACTCCTTCTCCCTTTGGAGTCCCTTTTGTAATAGCTTTGTTAAAATCTGCAACTATTTCTTGACTTTATTTCTTTATGTATTTCTTACCTTTTTCTGTCATTCACTCTCTCTCCCATGGAAAACTACTCCACTTATCCTAAGAAGTTTCAGTGAATTAGTCAGCAAGACATGTTCTGCTCAGAGTTAATTACACAGTTTTAAAGCAGTCGTGCTGTGAGCCGCAAGGCCAGCAGTTCGAAACTACCAGATGTTCCACGGGAGAAAGATGAGACTTTCTGCTCCCGTAAAGATTTATAGCCTCAGAAATGCAGGGTCGCTATGAGTCAGAACCAACTCCACGGCACATAACAACAACAACAAACCAATCTCTGAAAAGACGCACTGGACTGTGATTTCCGTGAGTAGTTCGTAGATGAACCTGAAAATTGCTGAATTATCAAGATCAGCAAACATTAAGAGCAGCCAAAACAAACAAGCACAGTAATTCTGTATCATCTTTACAGCCTCCATTTTTGGAGTCTTCATTGACATAGTGATTTTACAGCAGCTGGGCATTTGTTAATAGCAGATACTTGTGGTTAGAAATACAATATAACTAAGTAGGAAAGACCAGTCGCTGGAGAAGGATATCATGTTTGGTAGGGTGGAGGGTCAGAGAAAAAGAGGAAGACCCCCAGTGAGATGGATTGGCAAAGTGGCAGTTGCAATGGGCTCAAGCATGGCAACGATAGATTGGCCCAGGATCGGGCATTGTTTCATTCTGCTGTGCATAAGGTCACTATAAGTCGGTACCAACTCTATGGCCCCTAACAACAAAAAGAAGTAGATCAAATGAGGTGTACAATAGCATTTTTAACGGCTAGATCTGAAATTATTTTCCTGGCTGAACTAACCATAATATTGTAACTTTTATAGTTAGTAGTTAATTTCATAGGGAATTATATGGTTAGTAGTTAATTTTATGGTTATTTCGATCAGGAAAATTAAAACCTTAATTTTCCTGACTAAACTTAACCATAGGATTGTGAATGCCAAAGAAATTGGTAGAAAATCATCTAAGGGTCTTTGGCATCTAGTTTGAGAGAAGAGTAACAATATAGATCCAGTATTATTAAGTAGTGTGGGTAGGTGAAACTGAATCTATAGTTGACATTGTCTTAATCCTTACTGTTCTTGTTAAGTGCCATTGAGTGGGTTCCAATTCCTAGCAACTCTGTTTAGAGTTTCTGAGGCTGTAAATCTTTGACAGAGGAGAAATCCTCATTTTTCTCCCTAGGAACAGCTGCTGAGCTCAAACCACTGACCTTGTAGTTAGCAGTCTAGGCTTATTATCCTACAGAGTAACTCTACTCAAAACCTCATTAGTCTATTATAGTCATTAATTGATTGCTACTTGAAAAATATATATTCAGAACATTTTACCACATAAATATATGTTGTTGTTAAGTGCCATCGAGTTGGTTCCAGCCTATATATGTATATATGCATATGTCCGGATGGCGCTCTGGTAGCGTAGTGGTTACGAATTGGGCTGCTAATCACAGGGTCAGCAGTTTGAAACTACCAGCTGTTCCATGGGAGAAAGATGAGGCTTTCTGCTCCTGTAAAGAATTACAGCTTCGGAAACCCTGTACAGAGTTTCTATGAGTCAGAACCAACTCCACGGCACATAGCAACAACAATATACATATGTTCCGAATAGTCTGTCAAAAATAAAATTTTTCTCGTGTGTATCTCCTATCTGGAATATGAAATTATGCAGCCATCTTTTGTGACTACGTAAATAATACTTTGCTTCCTTGTATGTAGGTTTGATTCCACAAAGTCAGCCCTTGAGAAGCTGTGGCTTCTTGGCAACCTTGTCCGTAATGAGTATAAGCTGTCACCTGATAAGGCAATTTGGTAATAAACAAGTAAGCTGAAGAATTCGACTCTTTATAGACATGTGGATGAAGAATCAAAAATGTTAAACATACTTTTCCACCCGTTAAAAGAGTATGACTTTATGAACCACAAATTCTTTTCAACTGAAAGCAGACCAAGATTTTAATGAAAAAATATAATTTAAAAAAATTCAAAAACTGCATTTAATATGGCATTTAATCTTTTTAACAATCCTGTGAGTATCCCCATTTTAATGGAAATAAGCTGAAACTCAGTTTCATTGTTTCATGAGAGTTACAGATTACTGTTTTTAAATGCATCTTTAAACTCTAAATGCACATGCCTTGAATGCTAGAAATCTAATTATTTCAGTCACTATTTAATGTAGTAGAGGATTTCTCTGAAGCGAATCAGCTTTTTTTCTGTTCTCTGAATTATAATATCCTAAACAGAGTGGAGACCCCGGACTGCAAACCACAAGGTCGGTGGTTCAAACCCACCAGCAACACTTTGGAAACCCTGTACAGGGTCACTATGGGTCACAATCGACTCAATGGCACTTAACAATACAAACAGAGTATAGTGTATAGTCTAGGAGAAGGAACAGAAAAGTAAAATAATGAAAACATTACCTGTAATTTAGTGTGATCTGTTGATTGATTCAGGAGTCCTGGTGTGGTGGTGTGGGATATAGCACTGGATCGAAAGGTCAGTTTGAAATGCTAGGTCAGCGGTTCAAAATCACCAGCCACTCCTTGGAAACCCTATACAGGGTCACTATGAGTTGGAACCAATTAGATAGCACTTAACAACAACTACTTATAGATACATCTGTCCCAGAATGACTAGTAATCTTTGAGTTATAGTCTATACAGTAATCATATCTGGCATGGACTTGATCTCTCAGTATAGAATTGAAACTATAGTCCAGCACTGGCTCAATACATTAAGTCACTGAAATATATAATTAATCAGGTTGCATCCGAACAGGAAGTATAATTCACTTGCATCAGAATCGGCCATAGTTATTTAAAAATGATCATATAAATTTGATACTTCCACCCTTAGATTGTTATGTGCTGTAGAGTCAGTTCCAACTCTTAGTGACCCTGTACAGGATTTCCGAGGCTATAAATCTTTACGGGAGCAGAAAGCCTCATCTTTCTCCCGTGGAACAGCTGGTAGTTTCAAACTGCTAACCTTGCGGTTTGCAGCCAGATTCGTAACCACTACACTACCAGAGCTAAAAAAAAAAAAATCTATCTTTCGAAGAAGTGATTAATTAAAGGAACATGTATCTCTCATTAACCATCTTGTCCACTATAATTTTGCTGGCTGGTCTCAGGAGAAAAGAAAAATAAATGTAAAACTTTTTGGCAATATATATATATATATATTTTTTTTTTTTTTAATGTATTTTTTTTTTCTTTTTTGAGCAGATCAGCATTACTTCTTCTTTTGAGTCCAATTTTCCTAGAGTTTGTTTATATCACTGGCTCTTGAAAAAAAGATAAAGTATGTTTCCAAAAAGCACATTGAGTTTGGAACTCTCTCGTTGTATTTACATTGGGCTTTATTTTAAAGGCAAGTGAGACTGCTTCAAATAAAACAACTTCAAGCTTCCAAGAAACAGTTAAGAGAAAGCAGAGACGAGCAGAAACACCTCTTCACTGACACTCACGCAGTTGCCATGGACCTAAATAAGCAGTGGGCGAACACAGATACTAACTGGCACAAGGAAAAGATGGAATTACTGGACCAGTTTGACAACGAAAGGAAGGAATGGGAAAGTCAATGGAAGATCATGCAGAAGAAGATAGAAGAGGTACAAGTTGCTTTATTTTGAATGTATTGTAAATGTCAAGCTCAGAATGAAAATTAAAATTAGTCTTGTGTTGGAAACTTTTTTCTGTAATTCAACCTAATAGATACATGTCTGCATGTCTCAATAATATTTACTGGACCAAAAAGATTCTAATCTTAGCCAATGGTATCTTTAAGGCCTGTGCTTATTTTATAGCTTCACATGGAAATTAAGAACTTGAAATGTCATTCCAAAATGTGTCAATGTATATTTTTTGGCCAGAGTTCCTTGTTACAAAAAATGAGTTACATATTCTGCATGAGTTTAAAACAGCAGGGGTATGTGAAATGCACGTGCTAAAGCTAAGCTTTCTAGTAGCATGCATAATTATATCAGATATAATCCTGGTGTGGCACTGTAGGATAAGCACTGGACCACAAGGTCGTTTTGAAATGCAAGGTTGGTGGTTCAAACTCATCAGCCACCCTTCAGAAACTCTATCCATGGTAACTGTGAGTTGGAATCCACTTAATGGCACTTAACAACTACAACAAACAGCCAAGACATTAAAAATAACCTCTGTAATATTTAGCCTTGATCAACATAACTTCCAAAGGAAAGTTTGACTTTAACTGTAAAATGTCTACTTTGGAAATAGAATAAGGTGAACTATTAAACAAGATTATAAAATACTTAGTTAAAAGAAGGCATAAAAATTGTTGTTGTTGCTATTGTTAAGTGCAGGAGTGGATTCTGACCTTGTATAGGGTTTCTGAGAAGTGGCTGGTGAAGTTGGAATCACTGACCTTGAAGTTAGCAGCCTAGTGCGTATCGTATACCACATACACCAACACCCCAGGCAAAGAATAAAGTGATCTATATTAAATTGGTGTTTAAGCCATGACTTTTAGTTATTAATTCAGACCATTTCAGTTTTGTGACAGTGCTTCTGTATCATCATAGTGTCTATATATAAGATCAGGTTTATTTTCTTTTTGAGAGTTAATTTCTGTCAGAAAGGTACAAGTTACCATCCATGCTTTGTCCCATTAAAAGTGCCCTTATGGTTAATCAAACTTATAATGTTGTTGTTAAGCACTGTTGAGTTGATTCCGACCCATAGCGACCCTGTATAGGGTTTCCAAGGAGCAGCTGGTGAGCTTGAACCACCGACCTTGCAGTTCATACAAGTCTGACACATTAGCCTACAGCACCACACCAGGATGCCAAAGTTATAATAGATAACTTAATTTTAGAGACACTGTTTGGAGGCAAAAACGTGTTGTTACCAATGGTTAGCGCCTCAGCTGCGAGCCAAAAGTTCGAGGTTCATGTCCACCCACAGACACCTTGGGAATAAAGTCCTGACAATCTACTTCAGAAAAATCAGCCACTGAGAACCCAACAGTACACAATTCTACTCTGACACAGACGGGTTTGCCATGAGTCAGAACGGACTCAACAGCAACTGATGTTTAAGAATCCCTAGGTAGGATTAATAATAAATATGCTCAGTTACTAATTGACCCAGAGGTTCCTTAGAAGATTGGCCTGATTTTCTCTCTCTGAAAAGTCAGCCATTGAAAACTCTATGAGCATGGTTCTATTCCGACATACCCCTGGGGCCAGTGGGTTAGAATTAACTCAGTGGCAACTGGTTTTGTTTAAGCGTCAATACCAAAAATAGTATATAATAAGGCAAAGAAAATGCAAAACTATTTGCTTAGTACAAAAAATATAGTGAAGTAGGAAGAACGTGTTATCTTTATTTTCTTTATAGCTTTGCCAAGAAGTAAAGCTTCGGAGGAAAATCAACATGACTACACTTGCTAAGACCATTGATCTTGATTGTGAGAAGGTCCTTCAAAACACAATGGTGAAATCTTTTCCAAATTACTCCGGTTCAGGACAATGTGAATTTATAGGGATGAATCACAAACTTGGTCTGGAAAAAGAATATAAACCAGAACAGAGCTTACTCACTGGAGGAGATCAAATGTGTAAGGAACAAAAAACAATGAAAAAATCACAAGTAGGGTTTATGGATCCTCTGGCTGCACACAACCTAAAGGAACATGAAGCCTGGCCTGACATGAGGACCTCTGACAAAGAAAGCAAGAACTGTTCTGTTGCCCTCAATACAGTAAGTAACATGTGTCTGGCCTAGAACTGTTTTTAAAGAAATATTTACATTTCAAAGTGCTAACATGTTATTGCTTATATGCATAAAGGCCCTTGAAGAACTTGCCAAAGTGAGTGAAGAATTATGCAGCTTTCAAGAGGAAATCCAAAAGCAATCTAACCACAGAAGGTAGGCTAGTACATCTCTGTGATTACTTTGTGTTGGAAAATCAAGACGAACATTGTTTTTATTTAATGAATTAAAGCTGCCTACTTCATATACATGGTTAGTGGCATCTAACCATGAATGGTAAGCATTTGTTACCTTGGACAGAAACAGAAACTCATAATTGTGTTGTTTCTCTGTTTACTAATTCCCTAACACAAACCTTCTTATCCTCTTTGCAATTTGACTGTTAATAATACTTTACTCCTTTGGTGTTCAGTTAAGGTAGACCCTCCACAATAAGTTAACAAGTATCCTCTCATATGGTACTTTTTCATTTTGACTATGTGGCCAGTGCAAGAGCATATAACTGGATTATAATTTAAAAAATAAAAAATTTTTAATTATGTCAGATTTAATACTGCATTGATATAAAGATGTTCTACTGAAATATTTAATGCCCAAGTGTACATTTGTTATGTATATACTGGAGTCATACTTAATTTTCAGTAGGACAATGCATTATAAGTATATACATACACATAAATAATGTCACAGAAAAATGCACTTTCAGTTCAGAAACACTATATAAATGTAAGAGTAAGCTTTAACCAAGTTAATGTATATGCATTTGAAATCCCCTGGACAGGTTCATAGGAGATGGCGTGATATCGGTTATCTTCTAGTGGGGAGACAGTGCTCACAGTGGTATCTCTGTGCAAGATAAGAAGATAACATTTTTCCTTATTATTCTTTAACTATTATAAAGGTCACTGAAACTTTTTATGCTTCATTGCAATAGATTTTCTTAGCCAGCCATGATTTACACATAATTTTGTCCTGTTCTTGCACTTTGATATTTGCTACTATTCTTTGTAGATATTTGGTGTAGTGGGTTACGTGTTGGGCTGCTAACCGCAAGGTCAGTATTTCAAGTCCATCAGCCACTCCTTGGGACAAAGATACAGCTTTTTGCTCCCATAGAAAGGTAAAGCCTCAGAAAGCCTGTACAGGGTTGCTACGAGTGGAACCAACTTGAAGACACACAACCACCAATCACCACCTCTTTATTAGAAACTATCTTATAATCTTTTATAAATTGTTTTCTCATGGCCTTAAGAAAAAAAAGCTCAAAAAAGACATTATAATTTGACTTTAACCTAATGTTTCACTCTTATTCCCATTTTGCTTTATAATCTGTCCATACCAAAGTACTCATTGTCCCCTGAGTAGTCAAATTATGAGGCTTTTCATTAGTTCCCTTTGCCTGCTGATGCTGTTGGTAGGCAGCATTGAGTCAGTTTTGGCTCATAGGAACCCATGTACAACAAAATGCTGCCAAGTCCTACTCCATCCTCCCAGTCTCTCCTGTGTTCCAGCTCATCGCTGCAACCACGGAGTCATTCTGTCACATTAAAGGTTTCCTCTTGACCCTCTTCTTTACTAAGCATGATGTTCTTCTCCCCAAGCTGTTTTCCCAGGATTAGATACATGTTCAAAATACATGAGACATTCTTGCTTCTGAAGAGCAGTCTGGGTGTACTCTTCCAAGATTTGTTCATTTTTATGGTAGTCCATGATCTATTTCATATTATTTGAAAACACCATAATTCAATGATATTAGTTCTTTAGTCTTCCTTAATCATTGCCCAATCTTCACATGCATGGGTTGTTGTTGTTGTTAAGTGTCGTCGAGTTGGTATCTACTCATAGAGACCTGACCCTACAGAGTGTTTCCAAGGAGCAGCTGGTAGTTTTGCAACCTTGTGGTAGCAGTCTAGTGCTTATCCTACAGTACTACACCAGGACTCCAGAAATTACAAACAGGTGCTAGGGATTGCACTGAGGGCCTCTTGCATGCTAAGCACATTTTCTACCACTGAACTAAACCTCCTCATCTACATAGGAGGCGATTGAAAATACCATGGCTTGGGTCAGGCTCACCTTAGTCCTTAAAGTGATGTCTTTTCTTTAAGACCTTACATATAGCAGATATGTCCAAGGCAGTGCATCTTTGATTTCTTGACTGCCAATGAGTGTTGATTGTGGATCCAAGTTAAAAGAAAATCCTTAACAATTTCAGTCTTTTCTGTGTTTATTATTTATTTATTGATCCAACTGTGAAGATGTTTGTTTTTTTTTACATTGTGGTGTCCAAACTGAAGGCTGTAGTCTTTAATCTTCATCAAAAAAGTGCTTCAAGTCCTCTTCACTTTCAGCAAGCAAGGTTTATCTGCATATTTCAGGTTGCTAATGAGCCTTCTCCCTATCCTGATGTCACATTCTTCTTCATATAATCCAGTTTCTCAGATTATTTACTCAGCATACAGACTGAATAAGTATGATAACAGGACGCAACCCTAACACACACCTTTCCTGATTTTAAGTCAATCAATATCCTCTTGTTCTGTTTGAATGGCTGCTACTTGGTCTATACAGGCTCTGCATGAGCACAGCTTTGCATAAATGTTCTTTATTCACCCAGAAAATTCTTCATTTATTTTGAGTCTTAGCCCAAAAGTTTATTTCCATTGGAAATTACTTCTCTCTCATTGCGCTTTTACTAAGATTTTTATCATATGACTTTAAATAAAGGTGTTGTCAAAAAAACAAAAAATAAAAGCAAGGCTCCAGGAATTAATGGAATACAAACTGAAATGCTTCAACAAATTGAAACAACACTGGAGGCACTCACTCGTCTATGCCTAGAAATTTGGAGGACAGCTACCTGGCTAACCAATTGAAAGAGATCCATAATTTTGCCCATTTCAAAGAAAGGTTAACCAACGAATGTGGAAATCATCGATACATGGCATTAATGTCACATACAAGTAAAATTTTGCTTAAGATAATTAAAAAATTTTACAGCAGTACATTGACAGGGAGCTTCCAGAAATGCAAGCTTAATTAAGAAGAGTCTTGGAGAGACATCATTGCTGACATCAAATGGATCTTGGTTGAAAACAGAATACCAGAAAGATGTTTACTTGTGCTTCATTGACTGCAAAGGCTTTTGACTGTGAATCAAAAAAAAAAAAAAAAAAAAAAAATGGGTAACATTAAGAAGAATAATATTCCAGAACACTTAATTGTGCTCATGAGGAATCCATACTTACAGCAAGAAGCAATTATTAGACCAGAACAATGATTTAAAATCAGGAAAGGTGTGTGCCAACGTTGTATCCTTTTATAATACTTAGTCTGTGTGCTGAGCAAATAATTTGAGAAGCTGAATTATAGAAAGAATGTAGCTTCAGAATTGCATATTAATAACTTGTAATATGCAAATGACACAATCACTAGAAGCAAATATTTAAAATACTTAGTGATGAAGATCAAAGAATACAATAATCAGTATGGGTTGCACCTCAATGTAAAGAAAACAAAATTCCTCACAAATGGACCAATAAATAACATTAGTATAAGCAGGGAAAGTAATGAAGTTGTCAAAGACTTCCTTTTGCTTGAATCAACAACACTCATGGAAGCAATAGTTAAGAAATCAAAGGATGTATTGTCTTGGGCAAATCTGCTGCAAAAAAACAACAACAACTCTATAAAGTTTTAAAGAGCAATGTTGTCACTTTGAGACTAAGGTACACTTGACCCAAGCCATGTCTTTTCACTCACCTCATATACATGTGAAAGTTGGACAGTAAGACCTTAGAAGCATTGATGCTTATGAATTATGGTATTGGTGAAGAATATTGAAACTATGGACTGCCAAAAGAACAAACAAATCTGTCATGGAAGAAGTACACCCGGAATGCTTGTTCGAAGCAAGAATGGCAAGACTTCTAATCTCGTACTGTAAACATGTTGTCAGGAAGGACCAATTCCTGGAGAAGGACATCATGCTTGGTAAAGTGGAGGGTTGGTGAAGAAGAGGAAGAGCCCTAGTAAGATGGACTGACACAGTGGCAGCAACAGTGGTCTGAAACATAACGATTGTGCAGTGGTGGAGGACCAGAAAGTGTTTCATTCTGTTGTGCACTGGATTTCGATGAGTCAGAACCAACTCAACTGCACCTGACAACCGCAACAACCTTAAATGTTATTCGTTTTCAGTTTATATAAACCAAAACTCAATGCCATCAAGTCATAGCCTGCTCATAGCCATCCTGTATAGAGTTTCCAAAGATGTCGTAAATCATTACAGGTGCAGAAAGTCACCTCTTTCTCCTGAAGAGTGGCTGGTGGGTTTGAACTACTGACTTTGAACTACTAAAATAAGTCCAATGCTTATTTTACAGTGCCACCAGAGCTCCTTATATAATGGGATAATTCAAAAAGCAAAGAAGGTTAGGCATTCCAGTTAAGGAATGGCAAGAGAAAATCTATAGAAACAGTAATGTCCATAGTAGAAACCCAAGACACTATACCAATGGACCTCAAAAAGCTCATGGAAAAATTCCATTATCTTGAATGAACTTTTGTGTCCCCTTGTGTAGTCTAATCTGAGTGGAGGTGAAGATTTAGGTAATGGAAAAAATTGAGACAAAGTTTGAAGGATAGCTTGGGTCAAAATAAGTAGAACCTTAAATACAACAATGATACGTGGGCTTTATCCTATAGTAAAAGAGATTCGACCTTCTTAAATAAGAAATTCGTATTAAAATTAGGTTTGAGGAAACTATTGAGTCCCTTTTCTGTAAAAGAAATCCATTACTTAAACCAGTGTCTTTTGATAGCATACCCTATGTAAAAATAGCGCTAATATACCATGTTTTGCGATTTTTTTAGGATGAAGTCTGACTCTTCTCTCCAGGACATGCCAAATATAATCAACATGCCTCATAGGAACCACATGATCAGCAATGGCCAGTTTATTTCTCCAACTGATATAGAAAAAGATAAGCAGAAATATAGAATGAATTTGTATTATGAGAATGTGTTTCTAAGTGATTCTAGGAAAAAACATGAAATTGACACAGTTAATTTGCAAGGAAATGAAATTCCACCAGTTCCTCCTCCAAGAAGCACATCTCGAAATCTGCCAAGCTCATATTCTGAAGGCATACAAGCCCACGATGGGTTGAAAGAAAGTCTGGACAATAGTTTGGTTGACCGAGAAGCTCAAGGTGAAAAGAACTGTAATCCTCATTTCCTGTTGAGGCAGCATGAGATGCCTGTGTTGTGTCCAAATGAAGGAAAGAGTGTGAAAGATGGTGTCATATTTTCTTCTTTTGCACCAGAAGCTAAAATAAATAACAAGCCTCAATGTAATGAAAATGAAGTCCAATATGAACCAAGCCTGTGGTCATGTGACATTGGGGTAGGTGTAAAAAATAGCCCTTCCGCATTGTGGTTTCAGAAAACAGCCTCTACCCCTAATAAACAAAAATATGAGAAGCTAATCCCAAATCATTCTGCTAAATCTCATCCTAATCTTCACGTCAGCCATGGCGGTAACTCTTCAGTGGCACAGAACTGTGGCCCACTTGCAAGTTTCACTTGCAACTTTGAAAGGACCACAAGGAATGAAAAATTAGCAGCAAAGACTGATGAATTTAACAGAACCGTATTTAGAACAGATAGAAATTGTGTTGCAATACAGCAAAATCAAAGCTACTCAAAATCATCAGAAAATCCTAAACTCTGTGATTCCTTGATTACTCATGGAGGTAACTTACCAGAAAATGACAATGTGTCCGGCATTCCAAAAAACAGTGTCCATGTGCCTATGCCCACAGAAAGTGTGCCTGATAATCCTAGCAAAATATTGTCAGCAGGCCAAGTTAGACAAATGCAGGAATACCTAAATCCAAGCAGTTACCAGAATATGCTGCATGAACATGACTGGAGACCAAGTAATTTGTCTGGCCGTCCCAGGTCAGCTGATCCTCGGTCAAATTATGGTGTTGTGGAAAAACTGCTGAAAACCTATGAAGCATCATCAGGGTCTTCTCTGCATTATTCTAAATGCTTGCAGGATAATTGGACTAAATGTAACTCTAATGTCAGTGGTGGGTCCACATTAAATCAGCGTTCAGAAATGCTCCAAATGGAACAAGAACTTCAGCAAAAGACTGCTATGTGTGGGAGTCAACAAGGGAAGAAAGGACTAGATCGGAGAAAGCTAACAGAGGTGAGAAAGTAAACAGTGTTTGGGTAGAAGTGTATCCATATTTAGCAGTGGCTCAGAGTATAGTCTCTCAGATGCCCAATCATATCAATAGAATGCTGGCACATGTTTTGGCATCCTCTAAACTTCTTGACCTAAAATTTGTTAATAAATAGGAACTTTAGGATTATAACACCATGAATTTTAATGAAATAACTATAATAAATAGGCATAAGCATTTTTATGATAAAATGTTTGGTTTTAGTCTCTTTGTTGAAAATATATATAGCATGCACATTTATTGACTTTATAGAGCTTCTTTATGTTTTAAAAGTGTTCATGTTAAGAAAAATACATGGAAATATATATTTTTTAAATATCTTGCACATCTCAGTAATTGTTTGATTGGTTCAGTCATTCCCAGAATTTGCCTCATTTTCTTTTGAATCAGTGTGAATATGAGTAAAATAAGTAATTTTAAAATAGTGCTTTTTAAGTTATTTTATTGTGTGGAACTAAAAGATAGTGTGATAGGAATAAAATAAAATATTATGGCTTAAATAATTAAGGTAATTCTTATTTGTAGACACCCTTAGCATGGATAAAAATAACAGGAATTGAGGGCGTCCTCACTGTTCTTCTCAGATGAGAACACAAGCTTTGTTTAAAGAGTCATTAAGAACCAAGGATATAAACTGTATTATGGGAGCTTTTGTTTTTTATTACACAGATCAAATGTTTTTCTTCCATTAAAGTAAATTTGTTAGGTGCCATTGAGTCAGTACTGACTCATAGTGACTCTATTCACAACAGAACAAAACACTGCCCAGTCCTGGGCCAACCTCGCAATTGTTGCCACACTTGAGCCCATTGATGCTGCCACTTGGCCAATCCATCTCGCTGGGGGTCTTCCTCTTTTTCTCTGACCCTCCATCTTACCAAACATGATATCCTTCTCCTGTGACTGGTCCTTCCTGACAATATGTCCGAAGTATGAGAGACAAAGTTTGGCCATCCTGGCCTCCAAGGAGCACTCTGGCTGCACTTCTTCTAACATAGATGTTTGTTCTTTTGGCAGCCCATGGCACTTTCAGTATTCTCCAATTCCATAACTCAAATGCTTCTTCTACAATCTTCCTTAGTCACTGTCTAGCTTTCACATGCATATGAGGTTATTGAAAACACCATGGCTTGGGTCAGGCGCACCTTAGTCCTCAAGCTGACGTCTTTGCTCTTCAACACTTTAAAAAGGTCTTGTGAAGCAGATTTGCTTAATGCAATACGTCATTTGATCTCTTGACTTCTGCTTCCATGAGTGTTGATAGTTGATCCAAGAAGAATGAAGTCCTTTACAACATCAATCTTTTCTCCATTGACAAGAATGTTTATTGGTCCAGTGGTGAAGTATAACGTAAAATAGGAAGAAAAAAAAAAAAGTATAGGAAGGGAATTGAAGGAAACGTTTCACTCGTTGAAGAAATTTTTAGTGGGTGAAAAAGAGAACATCAGCTTCATCATTTTATGTGTTTTTGTTGATTGTTGTTAAGTGCCATCAAGCTGGCTCCGACTCATAGTGACCCTGCATAGGGTTTCCGAGGAGTGGCTGGTGAGCTTGAACTACTTACCTTGGAGTTCAAACCAACCTTTCAGTCTAGCGCATTAGCCTGCAGGACTCCTTGTTTTTGGTTGTTGTTGTTATGTGCTGTGGAGTCAGTTCCGACTCATAGTGACCCTGTACAAGGTTTCCAAGGTTGTAAATCTTTACGGGAGCAGAACACCTCAACTTTCTCCCATGGAACAGCTGTAGTTTCGAACTGCTAAACATGAGATTAGCAGCCCAATTTGTAACCACTACACTACCAGAGCTCCTTTTTGTTTTCGGTTACAACCTTTTAAAATGTCAGTAACTTGATATAAGTAGATGGTTTCTTCTATGAGTTATTTGATTTGTGTCATATTTAGCATTAAAATGTTCTAATACCTTACTAAGAAACTTCTGTGGTTCAATCATAACATATCATGTTACCTAATTTTTTTTTTAATCCTGATGTTATTGTTATACAGAGACCCTTGTATATTAACCTTATCAATGTGAGGTCTACCAGATTATCTATGTCATGTTCCATATTAAAATATAATTGCTTTGATTAAAACATTTAAGAAATATCAAACACCTTCAATTAGCTTTTCAGTGCTTTATTTGCATATAAATATGTTAACATACTAATCCATCATTGGTGTCCATATAGTGAGATAAATGTCCTCATTTGTGCTCTAGGAACTCATGACAGTGAAATGTTCACATGGACAAGGGTTTTCCAGACCTGCCAGACCAGCAAATCGCCGTCTCCCATCCAGATGGGCCTCCAGATCACCATCTGCTCCCCCAGCTTTGCGGAGAACTGCCCACAACTGTACCATTTCTCTGCGTTCTGAAGCATCAATGGTCTAAATCTGGCCTGGATTTCTAGATTTAAAGGCTCTAGTCTCTAGTCCCAGTTGCCCAACAGAGCATCTGAGTGTTTACAGCTAGCCTTGTTATCTTCTGTATCTCTCAAGATCACTGGGACGTACTATTTAAATCTTAACTTTCCATCAGTCTTCAGTGTTTTTAATCTTTGGAGTCATTATCTTTCTGCATTTTGATTTCTTAGATCAGAATTATTTTAATGCCATCCTCATTAATTTTCAAATATGTTTTAAATTTAAACAGTGTATAATATTGTATATTGTAACTTTACTGCAAGTGACAGAAAGCAAGTGGTTATGTGCATGGCCATGTGTTTATAGGTGCATGTGTTGAAATAGGGAGTTATCTTAGTATGTATTTAGATGAGAAAAAACTCATGTGCTAGTGTTGACTTTGAAATTATAACATGTATACCTATATATTCTTTGTGTTTATTTTATATTTTTTGAAAATATACAGTACCATTTATATTTTGTATGCCTCAGGATTCCATTTGAGGTATATACACTAACCATTTTTCTCAGACCCAACTACATAGAAGAATAAGAATTATAAACATACCTAAACTAACATTGGTTGACTTTTACATATAAATCATAAATACTTTTTAAGCCAATATAAGGATAAACTAATACCATTGATCTCCTTTACCTTTACTTTTGTAAAGAAAAATGTCACAGTTTTAGCAGATCAGTCTTCTGAAGCAAGCATAAAATGCTTTTATTATGTTACTTGGTAGTATATTGTGACTTTACCTTGATACTTGATCCTCAGAACCAGTATCATGAGACCGCATTGTATATGGTATGAGTAAATGATAACTTTCTTTTGCTTTATGAATAGACATTCCTTAAATAGGATGTAAAAGGAAAAAAAGTTTAATTACATTGAATTCTATTATTTGTTAAAAGTATGTGAAGTTTTTAGTTTAGTTGCTTTCATACATATTTAGAGATAATTGATGTTTACCTCTTTCTTGTTCCCTAAAATTACTAGGTAAAGAACTAATTCACATTTTTATTAACAAGAGAGATCAGGTACAATATTTTGTTGAGAGCAGAATTCTACTATCTTTCTTAAACTGTGCTACATAAGAAGCCTTAATCTAAACTTTGGCATTTATGAGTAGCAAAAGGAACAGAAATTTGTATTTTGACTACAACTTGCATATAGTGAACATATAAAATCTATATTGAGAGCTGACAGAAATATGAATGTTAACGTACTTTTCTTAGTTATCTAATGCTGCTATAGCAGAAATACCACAAGTGGATGACTTTCTTTAACAAACAGAAATTGATTCTTTCACAGTTTAGGCATCAAGAAATCCAAATTCAGAGCAATGACTTTGGAGAAAGGTCTCTGTCTTCTCTCAACACCTATAGACCCAGTCTTCCTGGAAGATTTCTATGTGTCTTCGCATCATCCATCTCCAGCATCTGGGAACTTCACAGTGCAAGGACACTAACTCTACCCTGGCTCTTCTTTCTTGATGGTAGTAACTTCCTCTGAGCTCTGTTGTTGTTGTGAAGTGCTGTCGAGTCACTTCCAAGCTGTGCTCACTTGTTAGTCTCTGTAGCACTTTAGGATAAGCACGGAACCACAAGGTCAATTGAACCACAAGCTTGGCAGTTCAAACTCACCAGCTGCTCCTAGGAAACCCTATATAGGGTCGCTAGGAGTCAGAATTGACTCTCTGGCACTTAACAACAACATATCTCAAAAGAGATTGACTTCCAGATACGATCCCAGAGATTGCCTCTGGCCTCATTAACATCAGAGAAGTGAGGATTTACAACACCGAGGATGCTGGATCAGGGCTGATCATCTCAGATCACATCATGTGGAGGTGGTTGCATTGTTGCATAACTCCCACATTATATCATTACATAACTGAAAACTAGAGAAATATTGGCCCTGCCAAGTTGACACATATTTGGGTATTACGCAATTCAATCTGTGACATGCCATTCTTTCTTCCCAAAATTCATGTCCTTACCACATCCCAAACACTTTCACCCATTATATTATCCTCAAAGTCTTCAAAGCCACATTCCCTCCTGGACAGAACTCCTCTTCATCTGTGAATCTAGAGTACAAGTTATCTCCTTCCAAATATACTAATGGAGCAAGCAAAGGGGAGGCATTTCCAATACAAATGGGAGCAATTGGAGTTAAAGAAGGGATAATGGGCTCTAAGCAAGTTAAAAATCCATCTCACAACGTTTCAAAATAATCCTGTTCTCAAAGACCATCTAGATAACAGCCTTGCCTTCTAGAATCTGGGTGTTGGCCATACACTCTGGATTCTGGGTAGAGGCTCCTCAATGCTGAACTTTAGCTCTGCCTCCCAGGCCTACTGGAACAGCAACTCTGCTCCCTTGGTTTTAGGTGGTCGCATTCTCCTACTCCTGTACATGGTAATGCAACTCTGCCATGCCTGATGGGCCCTGTTTGCTTTCCCCCTTGAGCATGGCAGTCCCGTCCCGTCAGTTTTCTGCAGTGACTAAACAGCCAGCAGACTCTAGCTGATTTGGTGAAGAAGATCCAAACAACTCTTTTAAACTTAGGAAACTGTGATGCCACTCTTGAAAATCCAGATGTTATGGTGCTACCTTTTGAGACTAAGGTAACTCTTAGCTTCTGCTTCTTAGTTCCTTGATCCATAGGCGAGACAATGCTTGCTAGCTCTATTAAGTGCCCAGCATCACCTCACTCCACCTGTAAACTTTGACCAGAGGAGTTCAGCTCTCAATCCATGATTAAGAGAGCCTAATGCCACCAAGTGCCCAGAGGCACCCTGTTCCCCTAGAAAACCTGCATGAAGGCCTCAGCTTTCTCATTCCATGGGTCTGCTCCCATGCCATGTTGTATCAGTCTCCAGGTTCTGCTGCTGTGGTTTCTCGCCGCTGCTTTTCACCAATAGTGTTAAAGGTTTCCTCACTTCCTTCCAAGCCTTCATCAGAATTGCATTTGACATCATATTTCCGCCAATAGTCTCTTCAAGGCAATCTATGCTTTTACTATTAGGCATCTCAGTACTATTTCAGACTCTACTCATTATACAATTCCAAAACTACTCGCATACTGTAGGTATCTGTTAGAGTAGCACCACACTCCTGCTACCAAATTTTATCTTATTTATCTTATTTATGTCACTATAACAGAAAAATGACACATGGGTGGTTTTAACAAACAAAAATTTATACTATTACAGTTTAGGAGGATAGAAATCAAATTCAGAGCACTGACTGCGAAAGGTCTATGTTTCCTTTCAACATTTCTAGAGCTAGCATTCCTTGAAGATCCTCATGTGTCTTCACACCAATATTTCCCTGGATCTAGGAGACTCACAGTGCAGGGAACCCCAAATCACAAGAACACACTCTACCCCTGGCTCTTCTTTCTTAGTAAGTCCCTCCGAACTCTGCTTGCTTGTTTAATCTCTATTATATCTCAGAAGAGATTGACTCAAGATACAGACTAATCCTGTAGATTGCATTCAGTCTCATTAATATAGAAGTAAAAATGTACAACACATAGGATAATCAAATCAGGTCAGGACTTATCACACCCAGCTTGATTACATCATTACACAACTGCCATATTGTGTCATTACCTAACTGCAGACCAGTGAGAATTATGGCTCTGCCAAGTTGACACATATTTTAGAGGGACACAATTCAATTCATGACAGTGCCTAAAATCCTATATGGAAGATCTTGGAAGCAACTTTGTTCTTCCTTGTCTATGTAATGCCAACTTGTGTTATTTTTGTTGTTGTTAGGTGCTATTGATTCAGTTCTGACTCATAGGACCTGATATAGGGTTTCTGAGGATTGAACTGCCAACCTTATTGTTGGAAGTCAAGTGCTTATCCTACAATGCCAGATCATGACTATTAGTTAGATATTGTTTCTATTTAAACATTTATTACCAAAAAACGTTAAGAATTTCTTATGCTGAAAATATTCAAAGAGCTTTGTCCTTATGATGTATTATAACAATTTAGAGAAATTCACCTCGTTATACACCATGACTTGAGATAAATAAGTTTCAAATCCCAGACTGCCTGAAAGGCTCAAGACTGTTGCACAATGATGGATAGAATTAAATTGAATTAAACTTTTAGAATGTGAGATTGGATTGGATAGTAAGGAAGGGCTATAGATCCACTCTTTTACCAAGCGATGTTATTTTCATGATATACTTTTCATCTGGAGGGGAGGAGACACTGCAGAGGTGATAGCATGCAACATAAAATGGAAAACCTGTAGAAAATGATGTAACACTTGAGGACCTGTCCAAGTATTGTGCAACATTCCTGTTGTTTTCCATTATCCCAGGGGGTCTAATGTAGAGCTATGATTCCTCCTGTTAACTATAAATCAGAATATTGAGAATTTCTTCAGATCCTTGGTTTTACTCCCCAATTATTAAAGCATAATTTCCAGGGGTGGAGTTTGGGAATCTAGAGTCTTTAATAAAAACAAAACAAAGCAAAGACAAATTTCGGACCAATCACCCTGGTTGATAGCACATCCCTAAATTGATGGGCTCTCTTGAATAGTCACTTTCCTGGACTCACCTTAAGTATCAGTAAAATAAAAGGTTTATATTGCTGGTCTTAACAATTATTAAGTCTTTTTATTTTATTTTCTTGCCACTTTATTGAAACAGTGGAATATGTTTTAACATTTTATGTGTGCCATAATCATGAAACATTAGAGCTGGGGGAAACAAAACAAAAGCTTAGCAGTTAGCCCAATTCCCTTGATTGTAAAGGGAAAAAACTAAAATGGGATCATTATTCTTGAAAGAGGTTATTTTATGTATTATATTTTAACTGGTTAGTTTTCTACTTTAGATGGGCTCTCTCCTGCCAATAACACATCCTTCATTATGCTATCATTGCTGGAGTTAAGGGATTTGTAAACATTTCCAGAAACACTTTTGTTAATAGATGTTTCCCTAGTAGACTT